AGGAGAAGCTGTGACTGAGAATGTGGTAAGATTGCCCGTCAGAAATTTAGGGATTTGCCATCTGTTTAAAGAAGGAGAAAATTATTTTGCCTTTTCTTTTATCTAACGTATGTACGTTTGTTAGTTTCCCAAAAGACAGAAAAATGTAAAACGCAGGGTTTGTTAGATAAAAGCCGAAAATATTTTAAGATCTATAAAACCGCGAGAGGGAAGGGGATGGTTACTGTAGCTAACAGGTAGTTAGCAAAGGGGCGCTGATAATTTGTTAAGTTGAGCCAAAGAAATTTAGTTTTTGTTAAATAAAATTATAAATTATAAATTTTATAAATAAAGAGATTGAGGGACTTTTTATTTTAAATTAATTAGAATTTAATGTTGATTTTTGAATAAAGAGATTTAATATGAAAAAAGAAAAAAAACAAAAACAAAGGGGCGCGCGCGTCTATGGCTTGTAATCCATACACATTCTTTGCAGGCTTAATATTAGTAGTACATGTACTTGATAAAGAAGAATTTTGATTTATTTTCTCAGCAAGGAAGGTGAAGCTTTAATTGCATAAACATTCTTCTATATTTGATGGCATAACCATATAAAGACTGTAATAATTCAAATGAGGTCTACATATAGTAGACAAAATCAGAATACAAATTAAGGATAACAGAGTATCACAACCTAAATTATACTAGAACAGACACTTAGAACTTATTACAATTTAATGGGTAGGAGGTAAATGGAGAGGGGAATTAAAAATGTTTCATCTAATTAAATTAAATCCAACAATATTCAATCCCTGTTCTCAGTTTTTCCTCACTGTAATCTTGTACTGAGCTCCTCCAGAGCCGAAGGAGTCATCTTCTTTGTAAAGGGTGATCCTGTGACCAACTCTAATGCCTTTACTGAACTCCTTCCAACCATCAGTGAAATATATAATTCTGTTCCGTTTTATGCAGGTAAGCGTCCACTGAAAACCCTTCTCATCTATAACCGGCAACTTTCCTAACTGACCGTCGTTGCTGCAATCAAATGGAAGATGTCCTATTTTGGCATCCCTAGGAAACCGCAATCCTTTTTCAATGTCATTTAGCTCAACCCTTTTATCCTCAAAGATGATCGCCATTGTGTTTGGATTGGATACGGTGGTTTGATATAGCAAGAGATTGTGAGAGTTTGAGAACTGGAATGA